AAAAATAATAATAACGAAATTTCATTACTCCGAGGTAAAGTTCATAATTAAATATAAGCTCTGCGGTGTGGGGTGCTCACGCGCTAGCGAGTGTGATATTGTGGCGGCCCCCTTTATGTGTATAATAACTTAAAATCCCGTAATAGCGGATCGCCTCTATATTATATCGATCGTTGTGTATATTCCTTTCGCCGTTATAAACCGTGGACGATGTTTAGTTACGCTCGTCGGCCGTAGAAGAGAGAGGGAGAAAGAGTTCGAGAGAGAAGAAAAAATGAGGATGAAGTATAAATTCATGTATCGAAAGCCAATAAACACGCGTGTGCGATCGAGATATTTTTGCCACGTGCACGAGTATTAAAACTTAGCGCGCGTTGCGAATTTCTGTACGAATAAACAAAAATTAAATCTCTGGTGCTATTTCTAACGATTTTTCTCTCTCTTCCTTCTCCTATCGAAATGTATATATATCATCATTTGCGCATAATCTCGATCGCGTGTATGTTTACGCGCGACTGCTGCAGAGCTTCTTGCCTCGCGCGAACCCTGCCTACGCACGGGAGCTTAATTATATGCTCGCAAAGTCGAGCATTCGGCAGCGTTCCGTATTAGTACTATATAGACGAGCACACGTGTACACGTCAAGTCATCGTCTCTTTACGTATATATATGTTTCAAATACGCTTATATTTGTTTAGTTTGGCTTTTCAAGCAGCACCAGCAGCAGCGAACATTTGATCAGGTAACACGCGACTCGTATAGTAGTACTGCACGTGACCTTACTCGCGCAATTTTTCATATTCTCGCAGTATAGCGAGATGTCCCGAGCCGAATTAATTGCAAATTATTGGTAGCTGATTACGATTATCGATTCGACTCGAGCTTGCAAGGAACATACGAGTAAATTTGATGCGAAGGGGCTAGATGATGCGTTTCTTAGAGAGAGAGAGTCAATTAAAATTCGTCATAGACCGCTGCACCACGTACATATACGCTCTCATAATATACCTGCTACTCTGCGTACTATTCCGAAATACAGTCGTATATATGCTAATCTTAGATAAACGTCTTTTGAAATTATTTTCATACCCCTGGCGCGCACGAGCTGCTGCAAGCTCGCGTTTAATACATGTGAAAGAGAGAGGCTAAATTGGCTTTATGTATAAATTCGCGATTATAAATATGGTGCGACTCCGCAGGTCGCAGAGAGCTTTTACGCGTCCACATATATTTACGCACGTCATGATTCGCACCCGTCAATTCGCGTTTCCGAGCTTTTTCTCTATGGATATATAAGTAACCGGAGAACGGTATCGCGTGGGAGAGGAAAAAATTGAAAGAAATGCATATGCTGCTGCTGTGTATGCAAAAATATTCGCTTCGTTAGAGAAGCTCGGCACAATGGAGCTCAAACTTTTGTTTATTTACTATATACCTTTTATTTTTATTTTCCTCCACTGCGGGGAAAATTGAGACTTTGACCGTAAAGAATATGCGTATGCACGCGTGCCAATTCGACCGAAATCGTGTTTACATCGACGTTTACAAGCGAGGCATCGATTTTTCAGGATTTTCCCGAAGTTGCGAGCCTCGGAATTAAACGCGCGAATATTTTTGCGCAGCAGCGGCAGCAGAAGCAGCAATAGCTCGCGGGAGAGTCGATGCGAAATATTCGAAGGATTACATTTACGCACAAAGAGACATACGCAAGCTCGCGCGGGGTGCCCGCGTTTTATTACATTTCCATGTCAACTCGGCAGACTTACAATATCGCGCGCTATTATCGCCACGCGCGCGAGCGAAATTTTCCCCTAAAATGCAAATGAATAGATGAAAATCGCTGCAAAATTGTTGCTAAGAAACTTTGCGCTTTCTTCGCTCGTAAAGTTCACGTATAGCACGCATGCTTGTCTGAATCGTCGCGCACATTGCCGCTGTAAGTTAATACTACCTGCGAACCCAATGTATATGCATAAAACCGAAACTTTGCCCTCCCCCTCGCCGAACGAAAATCCTCCGTGTACCGGAGAAATTATCGAAAGTAAAGCATGCCTATGTGTGCATGTGTACACATTGCGGAGCGCGTCTTAATTTATGCGATTCGTGCGAAGCTATATTACGTTATAGCCTCGAGGTGCGATATAGACTCTGCTTGTTTCGGGGCCATTTTTAGCTGATTATATTCGTAATATTACTATCAGCGGCCCCCCTCTGGGGAACAACGCACATACAAGTGTGATCGGGGGCGGATTAAAGACGCGCAATCGATCATCGATAGAGAGAGAAAGAGAGAGAGAAAAAAACAAGCGGTGCGACGGTGGTACCTTTCCAAACCAAATAATTGACCTATAGTTAGGTGTAGGTACGTACACGCGTGACACATGGAGCGCAGAAGAGAAACGACGCGCGCGACTACGAGCTCTCGAATTGCGATAGAGCGCGCAGATAGTAGCGTAGTTGCTATATAGCTCGTGCGGCACAGCAGCGAGTCCGACAATTACTCGGAGATCAAGTGAGCGCGTCCTATGAAGCGAGCTCTTTTTATTCCTTAGCTTTATGCTCCGAGCGGTAACTCTACTACGTCCGTGTGTCTGCAGTGTGTTTGTGTCTCTCTGCATGTGTGTAAAGAGCCTCGGATCGGGGGGCCTTGAGTACGTGTGACAGAGACCAATTCAAGCATTCAAGATGGCCATTCATATAATAGCGCCGCTTTTTTTTATTCTCGCACTCTTTCGTTTTATATCGTGACGCGCGTATTCTTCCCAACTTTAATACACACACGGACAGACACACGTACAGGCGGACGCGCTCCAGTTTATACACACAGACACACATACACACATACATTCATAGAAAAAGAGACAGACACAGAGGGTGAATGCGCAGGTTGAATTACGTATTTCCGGGTTAACGAGATCCATTGAAAAGAGCTTTTCGCTATATATACGTTTATTATACGCGCGCTCACGCGCCGCTCGCGGGCTCAAAGAGAGACAGACGTACTGCTGCAGAGAGTAGTAAAGCGTCCCAAGCAAGTGGAAAAAGTATTATAATATCTGCGTAGATCTATCTATCTTTACGTTATACTGCGGACGATTTCGGCAAATTTCAGAGCCGCGGCTATTTATCTTCGGCGAAATTGTTCGGTGAGAAATAGATGATATTTTCTTCTTACTCGGGGAGAAAATGGAATTTCCGCACGAGCGTACGCGATGAGGCCCGCGCCGAATCGATCCCGCGGCCTAAAACCTTGGCATTCGTGCGAAGGATACTTTTTTTTTTTGTTCGTTCTTAGCTACAAAGAAAATATTTAAATTGCACAAAGCCACCATAAAGTTGGAAAAGGCTAATTGCTGATTCTGTAATTCAAGCTCAACTTTTCAAGCTGGAGCCCAGGCAAGACGCAAATATCATTCTAACGCACGAGTAATAATTAAACATGAATATTTTTAGAACGTAATTTCGTAATAATTTTTCGTGTTAATTGTTTCGAATAATTTTCTCGTAATTATAAAAAATGTCATATTTTACCGGAATGACTTTGGCACAGTCTTGTGTCATTTTAATAATTGTTTCATCTGTACTCCTTCGCGCTCACAAAAAAAACCTTATAACCAATGACATTTTGATCCCTCTCTCGCGCTGCGACGAGGTTCAAAAATGTTCACAGAAGAGATGGTAAATTATCTTAAAAAAGTGACAAATTGCTCGGCTCGAAAGTAGTGCGTAGCTGCACACGGCTGCATATAAAAGTAATAGCACCTTTGAGGCTCGGCTCGCGCGAAACAAAATACTTGCGAGCCGTCGGAGGGAAATAATTACTCCCTGCTCTGCAGCGAAATAAGATTCCGATTGAATTATTTTCCCTCGCGCGCCATGCGCTGCTGCTGCTGTTGCTGCTGCTGACCGCACTCTGCAGCACAGAGGCTTGCCTACACGTCTGTGCAGCATTCGAGTTTATTTTGCTTTCATTATATTTTCCTTGCATCAGCAGTAGTAGTATCAGCAGCGCATGGCGCGCGCGGCTGGGCACGTATAATATTTATTTACCGTGCCGATGCTCGCGCGCGCGCGCGATCATCCCCTTCGGTAAACGGAGAGCGTAATTAAACGCGGGTTGCTCAGGCAGCAGCTACGTAGGGCAGCCCATTCGCTCGGGTCTTGTTTTTCTCTGGCTTTTTATTTTTCCGACGCTGTTTTTCTCGTCGCTCGTCCATGGGCCAACTGTTGCCGATGCGGGCGACACGAGCGCAACGAGGTAAACCTTTTTTTTCATACGTATTCTTTTTCCTTTCGCAGAAACGAAACGAGCTGCACTGCACTCACATACGCGTGCACATTCGAGTATACGCATTATGTACGTTATGGAGCATAGGTGAATCGAGGCGCGCAGTAATTATATGTGACCCAATGGTACGGTCAGAGTATACGTACAAAGTGCTATTACGCACGAGAGCATTATATTCGTTTTACTCCAACGAGCAAAGTTTGAAATATTTTACTGCATTTTTTTCTTAGCTTTGTTGAAAGTGACCTTTCTGCCCGGTGAATATAAACTTAGCCCGTAAACCAAGACACGTAAAAGATTCTTTCTATAAGTTCGTGGTTTGCTTCATCGAATCCATCGCCTAAACTCTCTCCGCAGTGCAGGCGGCGGCGGCGGCGTCAAGGAAGTGTATCGACAGAGAACAATCGACTTTGACGGGCGAGTTACAGGAGCGCAACTAATTTTCCATTCAAACTCGCTCGACCGATACGAAGATCGATCGAAATTTCGCGTAACCTGTCGTCGTCGTCGTCGCCCCGTTGCGATTCTCAATTTCCAACGGATACACACGCACGCTCACGCAACAACAAAAAATATAAACAGACGCAAAAGCGTACGCAGACACGTACGAAGAGCAAGAGATAGAATCGGAAAAGGTAATTTCAAGAGCTTTTGCAGCAGAAATAAAAAGAGTATAAAAAAGTCTTTGAGTTGGAGTGAAAAATGTACTCACTACTTGGTGTCGGCGATGCAGCACACGCAGGTGAGGACAGTGAGCGAGAGACGGAGAGTGGTCTTGATGACACGAGATCTGTCGTGACACGAGTCAAATGGTCGTGTAGAGGACGCAAGGTATACGATATCGCCGCGCACTCTTTACTCTCTGTATATATGGCTTGATGGCCCGTACACCAGGTGCTGCTGCTGATCTCCGGTACGAATACGTGTGTTGGACGCGCGTATACGTATCGCAAGCTCTCGGGTACGTGCGGTCAGTCGGTCAAACTCTGACTCGGTTTCGCGCGCGCCTATGTGCAAGCTCTGAGCAGCTCGTACGAAACTCGACGCGTGCTCGCGTTAATTTGCCTACGGACGTATGCGATGATAATTTCAAATAAACACCAAGCGATCGGCAAAATATTTTATTTTAATATACTTTAGACCGTGTCACGGCTCTTCTTTATTTCAAAAAAAGCTCCGTGTGCGGCAGAAAATTTTGGCTGTTGTTGTTGTCGGTCGGTCGGTGAGCGGTCGCGGTGCGTGCGTAACGGGCGGGAAACACAAAATGCGCGTGACTCGCCGTGCCAGGCAGTCTTTATACGCAAGCAGCGGATCAGCAGCAGCAGCAGCAGCGCGTCGCTCTCACAGAGCAGCAGCAGCAGCAGCAGACCTCCCCCTGGAAGGCCTCGGCACACTCGCTCTCTCAGTTCTGCGCACACCGCGCCGCTCTGCTGCAGCGTTATCACCTGTGCTCGCGCAGAACTTGGCTCTCGTCGCATACACAGGCTAGCTAGCTGCTAGTGTAGTGTAGCTCTGCAGCTGTGCTATACAGCACACGCCTGCTAGAGAGAGAGAGAGAGAGCCACGCGGATGAGCCTCTCTCTCCCTCTTTGCTGCTACTGCTACTACTACCACCACTACTACTACTGTACGTACAGCAGCAGCAGCAGTTAGCTCCCTACTGCTAATACAACAACTGTATAGCTCGGTCACACGCTACAGAGAGCTCCGGCAGTTGCAGGCCATCTATACCTGTATAGATGCATCGAGTACATGCAGCGGCTCGTTTTTCTCAATATCCTTCGGCCCAGCCAAACTCGGCAGGCGCCAGCCACGACTCGACGTACGCGCCTATCCACGCTAGGCTATCGCACCCCGTGCATAGCGCAACGGCGCTGCAACCATAGAACTACGCGAATCGCGAAACGTTTTCAATAGTCGCGCGGTTGGTCGTATCGCGTTGACGCATATTATCGATGTAAATATCCGCAATTGCGTCGACGCGTAATAACGCGCCTGTGTATACATACGCGGACATATTTTTCCATCCACGATTGTCCGAGTAAAGTTTTAATTATTAATTCTCGTAAATCTCAAATTCAATCTTTCGCGCGATAACTGCGCTTGCACGCGCAATTGCAAAAAGCTCGCTAGTACACGTTACCCCGTACGATACCGTACGTAGGAGAGCTTTTAGAGCGGTTTTTGTTTGTCCCGTTTATGTTTAACGTGCCGCGCGCGACTATACGCATCTGATATGATCTCACTGTAAAAGGCATTTTAATGACGGATGCGTCGTTCAAAATGGCCTTATAAAGCTCTAAGCGGACACACTTTTGGCGAAGCTCGAATGATGAGCGAGCGATGCACCACACGACCTTGTAGGATGAAATTGATAAAAGTTTATAAACTCGCCCGGTAGCTCGAGCGCTCAATTTCACTTCACATAAATTACGCGCGTTTGAAGCAATTCGAGAAACACTAAAATAAGAAGAAACGGGTTTTAAGTATAATTGGACGATTAGTCAATCACAACAACACATGTACCTTGTTTCATATATTTTTGTGAACGATACTTGGTGAAACGTTTGTCATTATTATCGTTCTAACGAAAGACGAACGTTGTCAGTTTAGCTCAATTTTTACTGGACTTCAGGTGTATACAGTATACATTACTTAAAAATAAGAGCTATAATGACTGTAACTAAGTGTCTAATTATATTATAAAAAAAGAAAAAACGAGGTGCGTCAAAAAAATAAATGTGTTCGTGCAATTCTTCAACATATTAATAGTTACAGTCGATTTTATAATTTCTAAAAAGCTTTATGATTTTAAAATATTCAACAGGTCGTTTTAGAACAGTCATCAGAACTTGACGATTGTCATCTTTTGTCCACAATATTTCTCATTTTTATTTGGTCTAATTTGAACTATCAAACTGATGACAACCCGTTTATTTGGTTAATTACTTTATTGCAAATAAATTTAATAGCGTTAAGACTATGGTCGGTGGTGAAAAAAGAGCCATACCCAAACCGCAAACTTTTCTCGTGTGAGGTAAACTCACACAATTCGAAGAGCATTAAAATAAGATTTTGAATTGATAAAAGCACTAAGAAAAGAGAAAGATTAAGAAAACTTTTACTTATTTTGAATTAATGTAGAAATCATGTTTTGGTTTAAATTAAGTTATTAAATCTGTGGTGGAAAGGGCTAACGAGACAACTCCATTTTTTTCGAAATCGAGTTTATGACATAAATTACCTATATGTTATGTCTACTTTAAGATACAAGTGTCACAAAAGCTGAAAATAGCACCTATCGTTAAATATAACACCGTGCTTAACGAGATAAATCCATTTCGCTTCAAACGATTCCCGATCAAAGGAAATAAGTCCACCTCCGCGATCCCCGTACTGCAATACTGAGTCTACTTTGATTTACACTACTGGAGTGAACGGTCGAATATCATCTACTTTGAAAGAAATTTGAATTTTACTGTTGTCTCAATCGAACGCACCTAAATTAACATTTCAACTACCGCATGTGATTTGCGTAGACGCAACAGCAGTATACACTGAAAACAATTTTATGCCCAAATCCAACAAAAGTGAACAGCGTGATTAGCAAAATATCTTTTGCTGCCCCAGCATAATAATTTTTCTGCAGGAAAAAATTTTTTGAATTTTGGCGGGAAAAAAAATTTCGAAATTTGTTGGAAAAAATTTTTTGAATATTGAAGCCTTTTTTTTAAATCAAACGCAAAACCTTTCTGCTACAAATTCCCGCAAATAAAGCGCGAAATCACCTGCCAAAATAAAGCACTACTACACAGGTGAAATTTTCACAACTGACGTGTACTTTCTTTATGTGCAAAAGCAACTATGTTTAGTATCGAATCTCTTTGCACACTTTTCACATAAGTAATTTTTGAAAACTTCGTGAAATATTTTTTTGTGTTTGAGTAATGTTGATTTATTTCCAAATTTCCTCTCGCACTTATTGCACGTGAAATCTTCGCAAACTTTGTGTACCGATATTTAGTGTCTACTCAAATGGCTTTTGAACTCAAATTTCTTTTCGCACTTGTCGCACAAGTAATTTTTTGGTTCATTGTGAGTTGTGTCCACGTGTTTTATCATGTTTGATTCTATAGTGCAAATGCCTCCTGACAAATATCACAATTACGTATTTTTGGCCTTTTGAAATATCATTGTTGTGTTCGTTTAAATTTCTTTTCCAGTAAACTCTCTCGAATTAATTCTTCTCACTTTAATCCATTTTGATGATTCAATCAAACGATAGATCTTTCTATTTCGTGCTGCAGAAATTGAAAGAGTAAAATTTATCTTATGGTATTATAATTTATTTTTACTTTATAAGGTGTTCGAGGGACTATTTCAAAAACGTTTATGAGCATATTATTGACAATTACTAATTAACCGATTTATCTATTTATACATTTTGCTTATAATACTTGAGCCAATTTATAATTTTATTTAAAACTTAATTTGGTTTGTTTGATTTGATAATATTTATTAAAGTTCGTCCCGGGAGGACTGTGAACTTACACTTTCTCTTATAAGTTCTACTTAATGTATAACCAAATATAACAAAACATATAATAACATAAAGAATAAGTAAATAGTTTTTCACAGTAAAATGCAATTGAAAATTTGGATAATACCTATCCAACATAAATAAAAACCATATTCATTTAATAATTTAAAATTGTATTTTTATTAAACCTTTTTTTTATATCATAAAAATAATAGATTTTTGGATAGACTGAAAGGAAACCTCTTTGATGTAGCACCACAGAGATTTCAACGAGAATCTTTACTTCATCGTTAAAAAATCAAAACATTTCAGAGTATTAGTTTTTGTCACTTTACTGATGACCTCATTTGACGAGCAAAACAAATTGTTATTACTTTTTCAAAAAAGTGTACCCTTCGAGGTCTCCCTGTCCTTTTTTACCTTTTTTTTATGCAACTTCGTACTTTAATTATCCAGAGCGCATCGCAGGCGTATCGTGGCACATTATTTTCTCGGCTTCGTTATATATATTTTTTTTGTTTTTACTTCTCTTAGCACGCGTATATACCTCGTTTGCGGAGGTTTGAAAAAGGATAACGCGTATACAAAGCTAAAAGCTCGAGCACGGCACTAGCCCCAAGGCATCGGCGCAGCATATAAGAGCTGCTGCGCGCCGCGACTGAATAAGTTATTTTTCAATTAGTTTACCACATTTGTGTTTCTTTAATTTGCCACTTGTTTTTCACGAAAAAAAAGAGAGAGAAAAAGAGAATGATCCAATTTTCGAGGCCCCAACTGTGCGTTTAACGCACATTTACTTTTCACCCAATTAATATCAATGTATTTTAATTAGTAGCATTTCTTCATTTTTATTTTTTACGAGAATCGCGCTTTTCGTGTCATCCAGGCTTCCAATCAACACTTTTAAAAATCAAGAATTTTTTTCCGCTTGACCTATCCGCGTCTATACATTAGTTAGAAAATGTTTCGTTTTCACTAACGCGTGTGCGACCGAAACTCCAACAAATCGCTCGCCCATTGTCTTCTGCAATTTGCGTCATTAGCTTCGCTCACGCGTCGAAAGCAGAACGAGTTTAACACTTTTATCGCGTCCTAATAAGGTTGAAAACCGAAAATTTTGAGATTTCAGATATTATTATTCTTCATAATTATCTCGCCATTGAAATCCAACTGTAATATTAGTGATTTGTTTTTATTTTCTGAATTATGAGTATTAACAAGTTGTAGACTGTCACCGAGATCAAACATACATAACATTACGCTAGTGACGTAAATTCGTTCAATAAATGACGAACTCTAAAGAATCTAAAAATCCTCTTATTCGCGGGTTTATACTATCCGCGATTCATCTCATGCACTGTAGGCCGAAATGCGACACTTGTTATAAATTGCATTTATATTTAGCGTTCTTCGCAGGTCAAGTACATGTCGATATGATGTGTAATGTATGTATGGAAATACAAAAGAAATTGTGTTTATATCTACTTATTATTCTCAACGTCTTATATGAAGTATCAGACATTTTCAATCACATATATTTGCAGCATTTAGTCAACATAATAGTTCAACGGTTCATTTTTCTCCCCGTTTTATTTTTCAAAGTGCTTGTTTTATTGTGCAAATGGCTTCGAGTGATGAGAATTTTCCAGAAATCATACGAAGAGTAAGATTGACTTTGACAGAAAAAATGGAAATTTTGCACTGTCTTGAGAAAGGTGAAACAACTTCTTCTATTGCTGAACGATTGGGACTCAGTACAAATTATATTAAAAATTCGATACTGAAAGATAAATGAAATTA